AGAGCGTCGAAGCTCCAATCAGGTTCGGGATCATCAGCAATGCCATCCACTCGTTGCGAACAACGAAGGTTCAATTTCACCGCTCCCCTGCAAATACCGTACCAAATTGAAATTCATCTCTCACAACCACGCGTTTGTGAGAATGTTCGCAAATTAGTGAAAGCGCAAGGAAAAGAGAATTTACATTGTACGTTACTTGAAACGACGACGCTTTAGGGTTCGGTGTTCTGAGCGGAGGGAGTTAGAGGGACCGCACCGTCCGCCGGAAGAAGAGCGACTCCGGCAATGGGACCTTCACTTTAGGGTAACGCGGGAATGGAACTGAACATAGCAAACGGCGTCGTTTTCCAGCAAATGACGAGAGATTCTACTGAATAGGTTTTGAAATTTTTGGGAAACGACTGTTCCATCTAAGATAATCGAGACTATTCAGTCGCTGCAATATTTTTTAGTCAATAATTGTAAATTCATTAATATCTTCCTATTAATTTTTCTACTTACATTATATATTTTTTATATCCTTTTTTAATTTTTCACAAGTTAAACGTTAAATATATTTTATATTTTTAAGATATTAAATATTTTTATTTTTTATTTAATATATTTTTTTAATAAAAAGTGGGAAAGTTTTTAAGAAGATTTTTTTTTTGAGAGAGTTTGCAAATTGCAAGAAGATTTTTAAGATAATATAATGGCTTAGACAGGACTTTCTTTTCTTCTCTTGAATCTATAGCTTTTTTTAAGAGAAGATTTTCTTCTTAAAAGAAAGTTTTTTTTTTTTTTATGTAGATTTTTCTTGACAGTAAGAAGTTTTTTTTTGGACCGAATTTGTTAAAAGGATTTGGAAAATTCAGAAAATGTGTTATAACATTCGATGTCTTAGTTTAAACGGGAAAAAAAATGGAAATTGAGATAGAAAAGATATATTTTCATATGGCACGACTTAATAAAACTTAAAAAAAAAAACTAAGACAGATATTCGATGTTTTACTTTAAAGCTAAAGAAATAAAATTAAGACAGATAAGATAACTTAATTAAAGAATATTCCGGTAGTTTATTTTCAATTATTCATTTATAGAAGAAAAAGACCTTTTTATATATATAATTATATATTAAAATGAAATATATATTAATTTTATTCATTATTAGAAAGATCGAGGTATTTTGTGCCTCTAATAATTATATATATAGATAAATATTAGAAGTTGTAGATAATTATTTAAAATATTTTTTTTATGATGATCTATTAAAAAGTAGAGACCAATGATGGTTATCAAAATATATCTCATTTATAATAGATATAGATTAATTTCTGACACAAAACTTAATTAACCATTTTAGTAAAATCACCTCTCTCAATCACATTTATATTTATTAAATTATAAATTAAATATTTATTAAATATAAAATAAAATATAAAATATTCACAAATTAATAAAATGGTGGATCAAGTTTGCGAACAAATCAACAACTTTAACAATATTATTTTCATTAACTTTTAATTTAACTGGTTACGGTAAAACGAAATTTATCTCAATAATTTATTTAAAAATAAATACATCATTACTTAAATAAATGAATTAATTTAAAGTAACATTTTGCTTCATCATTTTACGTGTTGTGTGACTTTAAGTTTTATTTTATCTTTATATTTAATTATAACTATAATTTAAATTAACCTTTTATTTTTATCTTTTATTTTGTAAATATTGAATTGTTGAAATTATTATATATTATTTTATCATCATGCATTACAAATTAAATTTAGAAGCATATTGTATACTATTTTCTTTTAACAGCCACATATACAAATAAATTATAATCCAATCCTATTTAATTTTTAAAAATATATTATTTCATTAAAATATCATATTATCATAATCCTCTTAATTAATACTAGCTGGAGAAAGGCTCTGTACCTGTATTATATTAAAAAAAATATAAATAAAAAAATAAAAGTTACTCATAAAAAATAATAGTTATTAAAAAATAAAATAATTCATATACTAAAAGTAATTATTAAAAATAATATCTCCTTTATATTAGTATAGATATAAATATAGACTAATTAAATAAAATTTTAAATTATCAACTACTCCGTCCTAATGCGTAAAAGGAAATTACGTACTAATTATAATTGTAGTAATAACATTGTATAATAGTTTTAACTAATAAATTTGTTTTTTTCCTTATAATTAATTATAAACTTTTAACTAAAAAATTTTTTGTTGTTATTTATAGTTAGTATTAATTACTATATAATTAATTATTTTTTTATAACTGTCTAATAAAATATATTCTCTTAATTAATATTAATATATATATATATATATATTAAATGTAATTTCAAGTTATCAGTTACTTTGTTTTACAATTAATAATAATATTAATTTATTGTTTTTTATAATTAATAATAATTATTATTATACTATTTATTATTCTTTTAGCTGAGAATTTAGTCAATTTTAATTCTATAATAAAATCACTAATGTACATATACATAATAAAGAAACATGATTTCAAATGATCAATATCAATTATTCAATAATGACTCTAACAACATTATAGTTGTGGTCAAAAAAATGTATACAATATTTATTATTTTTGTAAATAACTTTCTTATCAATTCTTCCTTAAAAAAAACTTTCTTATCAAATTCCAATTAATTCAAAGAAATAATATTTTCAAACACTAGTACATTAATACAGCTTAATATTTAATATATATATTTTTTATAATTATAGTGTGTTTACGAAGTATTCAACAATTTTTTATGACTAATTTTTACTATAAAATGTAGCTAGTTATCTTTAATGCAATCTCTCCTATTTATTGTGTTTTATTTATCATAACACTTGAATATGAGAGTTTATTTATGAGTGGAAGTTGAATATCACTTAAATAATATTTAATATAATTAAATGTTTTCATATATAATATAACAATATTCCATATAAAATTAAATTCCTTCACCGGATCTTAATTAATCATGGTTTGGTGTGTACATCATATTATAAATGGAAGGCTTGTTGTGTCTATAGTGTTCAAGTTTTCATTGTTGCTAGCCATCAAAACAAGAAAATCACATCTAAGAACCAAACACATTATGGGTTGTTCATTTCCATTGAATATCCCTCTAGTAACAACAATAGTGCTCCTCTTGGGTGTGACACTCCTAACCAAGCCCATGGTTGTGACATCTTTTCCATTATTCACTCAAAATCGGTGGATAGTTGATGAAAAAGGGTCAAGGGTGAAGCTAGCATGTGTGAATTGGGTGTCACATTTGGAACCCATAGTGGCTGAGGGCTTAGGTGAGAGACCTTTGGATGTGATAGCCAATGAAATCAAATCCATGGGCTTCAACTGTGTTAGACTCACATGGCCTACTTTTTTGGTCACCAATAACTCTCTTGCTTCTCTTACTGTGAGACAATCTCTCAAAAATTTTGGCTTGTTTCAAGCCATCGTTGGTGTACAAGCCAACAACCCCTCTATTATTGATCTTCCCCTCATCAAAGCTTACCAGGTATATATGTAGGGATGAAATCAGAGCCCTATTAAAGGTTTCGCATTTTTTAATAATAAATCTTTTAATATGGTCTGAAAAATAGTTTTTTTTTTAATATAATCATATATTTAATATAATATATAAATTTTTTTTTCTAATGAGTTGGGGTCCGTCTGTCCAGGTATACACTGCATCATTTGCTTACTCTAACTTACCTAATTGATTGTTGCTAATATATATATTTGATTAACTTTAAACTTGAAATTATTAAATGAAACAAAGAGTGAATCTTGAAAGAATGATATATCCTTGAATTAAGAATTAATTGTCCTTGTTAAAAGTTGAAAGAATAAAAAGATTGATGAAAGATAATTTGTGTGTGGCGAGTCCTCAGGCAGTGGTGAAAGGCTTAGGAGAGAAGGGTGTGATGGTGGTTTTGGACAACCACGTGTCGAAGCCACAGTGGTGCTGCAGTGGCAACGACGGCAATGGCTTCTTTGGGGACCAATATTTGGACCCTGAGGTATGGACTACGGGCCTTACCAACATGGCCACCCTTTTCAAAGGAGTCACTAATGTCGTAGCCATGAGCTTGAGAAACGAGCTACGAGGTCGTACACAAAATGCCAAACTCTGGTTCAGGTAATTAGTTAATTAATTATAATATTTCATGTTAAAGTTTTATCTCATTTCATTTCAAGGACTTAATCCAAAAATATTGAAATACAAACAAATCTCACATTTATAAAATAAAATAAAAAAAATAACAACTTATAAAACATACTCATATTCCAATAAAAGAGAGACCTATTGAGTAATGACCAAAAATAAAATCGTGAAGGCTTAAGTCCAAAGCAGATAATATCTCATAATTATGAAGTTGTGTGTAAAATAACTTTATAAAAAAATAACTTATATAAAATATTTCATCAAACAAATACCATAAAATAACCCATCAAAAAATACCAGATCCAACACTTTATAAAGGAGTTTAAAATAAAAACCTAGACACCTTGCTCAATCAACTAGGGGTGAGCAACGGGCGGGTTTGGTCGGGTTCGGGTGAAAAATGTTCAACCCGTTGTAAATCGACTTTGAAAAAATGTGACCCATATCCGACCGACTGAGCTTTCGGTTTGAGGCTGCTCGAGTTGCAACGGATTCAGATTTGGGCGGGTGGGTACAATCAAGTTTTAGATTTTCTGTGGACCAAGTTATTTTAACGAAGGTGAAGCTTAAAACGGTAAAAAAATATTTTTAAAACAGTGTACAAAAATAGAATGAAGGTAACAATAGATGATGTAAGTAGATTCGTAAATAAAATATTTACAAACTAAAGAAGCAAAAATAAAAGATAACAAAATTCATAATTGTTACATGCAAAAGAAATCTAAAGTTAGATTACAAAATCTATAAGAAACCACTGTCACACAAGTTGTACTCAAAATGGAGATAGGAAGATGGAAAAGAAAGATAAAGAAAGAAACAAAAAGAAAAATCTAAAAGTAGACTAGTGTATTGAGAAATTGAATGAGGAAGGAGAAGACAAAAGAAATATCTAGGTTATGAGAAAAAGAAAAAAAAATTACAAATTGATGGCTAAATTATACTTGAAATAAAGACTTTTGAGTTTGGACCATTGTTGTTTAGTTATACAAAAATAATAAAAATATAAACTTATCTCATTTTCGGTTGGGTTCGGTTTTTAGCGGGTTTAAAAATTTAAAACCGAACCCGCCCAATATAACCTGTATAAAATCAAAATTTTAACCCGATTTACCCGTAAAACCCGTCCGAACCCACCCAAAAGTAATATTTTTTATCGGGTTTTTCAGGTTCGGTTCGGGTCTCGATTTTATGCTCACCCCTACAATCAACTCTGAAGAAGCATATACTCTCTCTAATAATAATAATAACTAATTTTGTTAATAACTAATTTTTATTGAAAAAAATTGTTAATAACTAATTTTTATTAAAAAATTTATTATATTAAGTATTCATCAATTTTGTTAATAACTATTTTTTATTAAAAAAATTATTAATTATTTTTAACGGTCTCCTCTTTTAATCATATATTAATATATATGTTCTAATGTATTGTTTTATTAATTAAAATTTATTAAAAGTTTCATTTACATGGGTCATTAAAAAGCATGTTGGACCTACAAGCTTTTTGTGATTTTTGATAATTTTTAACAGATAACATATAGAGCTTTCAAAACAATAAATTATTAGGCTTATGATCTAGAGTTTAAGATTTGGGTTGTGTTTGGATAAAGGATTTGAGAAATTCAGTTGCTTTAATTAACATTTCTCTATCCTCAAAATTTTTTTATGAAGCAATTAAAATCCTTCATTTTCATATTCTCTTGACAAAACAACTATATTTCTTCATTTCTTATTTTGAATAAATAACTAATCTTTTGTTTTTAAAACTTCATATTTGAGAAAAATAATTAAATTTATTTTATTTATAAGATATTGTTATTCATTATAAAATATTTATTTTTATTATCACCAAAAAAAAAATATTTATAAATTATATTATTTGGATAAAATAATTAAAAATGTATTTTTGTAATTTATTTAACATAAAATTATTTACTATTTTTTTTTACTGAAATAGGGGTAAATCTCTCCAAAATAAAAATAAAAAATTAATTGCATATTCAATTTGAATTTTCTAACTACATAAATCAAGATCCTCTAAAATTGACTTAGATTAAAAAAAAAGTAAGGAATAATACAAATATTATATCTAAATAAATTTCTAGCAATTAAGTTTAATTTTTTGGCCAATTCAATTCTAAAATAGATCAACAAATTGCTACCAGCAAATTGTTAATAAGTACATATCCAATTTTCTAATTGATTGTTATTAACTATTTACGATATATCATACATTGATATAGTATCTAAATGTACAAAGGCTTCGAGTGACTTAATTATTCTCTATTTCCTGAAGAAAAAAAATAATTTGACAAAAATGATGAGTTTCTTTTGTCATGAATTACAACAGAAAAAAATTACAAAGACAATAAACACACACACACATAAAAAATGCATCCAATGACAAGTTATAATAATTAATGTTTACTTGCATATAACTAAGTTGGTAATCAAAACTTGTTTCATGATATAAAGTAACCAATTATTTTTTATTTTTATTAAGTCCCAATGCCAGACACCATGGTCTAGATTCTTCAGTAACTTTGGTGAAAGCTAGATCTGTATAAAACATGGATTTCTCAAATTCTTTGGATATGTCCAAAACTAAAGATAACAAGAACCACAGTGAGACATTCAAATGATAAAATGAACGAAGAATCAAATAAAGCTAGGAAATCAACAGCTATTCTTTGATGAGAATCCAAGACAAGCAATATAGTCACAACTAACTATGACAATACAACATTCAAATGATGAATCATGTTTGACCTAATCAGATACGAGCAAGCTTAGAGGCATCAAGCATGCAAAATGCCAAGAAAGTTCCAAACTACAGATTGATTGCCCGCGAAAATAAGTTTGCTAAGCTAGTTAAAAGATTTTCTTGTGCATCTAGGCTTTTTGTTATTTCCATAATAATCTAGTAATTGTTCACAAAATGGAACACAGAAGTATAGTGCCTGTACAAGGTAGAAAAATATATAAGAAACTTGTTAGCAAAGTACCGTAAAAACCTTCATAAAAAATAGCAAACTAATTATCTTCAAGTACAGTCACCATTCACTAGACACGTCCAGTGCACTTACTGATATTTTCGTGATGCTAAACATATGACTGCAACGACTACTGCTAGACGTTGATAACATTACTTAATAATTGAGAAATTATTAAGTATTTTATGATAAACTTCTTATGGACCACTTATTTTGTAGCTCAACTTTGTCTATGGACTCTTTAGGTTAGGTTAAATTAGTTCATTATACTTTATTTTATTTTTATTTAAAATTGACAAAAAATAATAAAAATATCATGCAAAATAGATTGAATAAAATTCAGAGTTGGAGATTAGTGACCAAACGTTAGACTATTGGCCAAAACCAAGTGACCTAATTTTTTTCCCCCAAAATATAACGTAGAGTTAACCCATTTTATTTGGACTTTTATTTTTTTTTTGGTAATTAATGTATGATAAAAATTATCTAGACATTTTTTTGACACCTTTACCTAGTGTTGCTAGAGCATTTCTTTTTTTACTAAGATATTAATATGAAATATATTTCATATTGTTTGAAGTAATTTTTGATTGAGAATTATGGACACACATTAAGATTAAAATTTGAATCTTGAATAACTTTATTAAAGGATATTAGTCACTTAAACTTCCTACAACATTAATGTTTAAAGATTTATAAATCTATGGTCATGATGTATATAAATATACCATATAGGTACATGCCAAGAGGAGCAGAAGTCGTGCATGCAGCAAATCCAGATGTTCTTGTAATTCTATCTGGCCTAAGTTATGATAGTGACCTATCATTTCTTAGAAACCAGGGAGTGAAACTCAGCTTTGACAGAAAACTAGTATTTGAGTTGCACTGGTATGCCTTCTTCAGCGGCTCAGCATGGATATTAAAGAACCTAAACCAAGTTTGCGGCCAAGTCACACAGAACATGATAGAAAGAGCAGGATACCTTTTGGAGCAAGGATATCCACTGTTTGTGAGTGAGTTTGGGAGAGACTTGAGAGGCACAAATGATAATGACAATAGGTACTTCAACTGCTTCATGGCAGTTGCAGCAGATCTTGACTTTGATTGGGCCTTGTGGACACTCATTGGGAGTTATTACTTAAGAGAAGGGATTTTAGGAGAAATCGAGGTTTATGGTATTCTTAATGTTAACACAACCCAAGTTACTGACCCAAGTTTCTTGCAAAGGATAGCTGCTCTTCAACTTCCCTATCAAGGTATGACAATTCATAATAAGATATGCTTTCATGTATTTTCTTAATATTATATATTTACATTCTTGATGGAGATAAGTGATATGATCTTAATAGTGTATATAAATAAGGAATGATCTTAATTTTACAAGTCGATTTCGTAAGATTAAATTAGGTTTATAATTATTTTTTAAGATAATATTAAAGTCGATCTATTCTTAGTCTATTGTGTCATTTATGACCAAATTGTTATTGAACTACCTACATATATCAATCTTACATGCAAACTTTAAGTTCAGCTGTCTAGACGCAAAAATAATATGTTAAAAATCTCACAAAATAAATGATACACTAATAGTAAAAAATAGACTTTTTTAATAAATAAGTAAGAAATTGTACCAATAATAATATATTTTTTTGGTTTGAGAGAGGTATAACTCATTTCCTTTGAATAAACTCATATAAACATAAAGTGATAACTCTATATAATCAACATTAAACTCTATATATATAATGCTATATTTCATATTTCATATCACATGCAAATATATATTATCATTGTCAAAGTAATTGTATTGCTCTTGACATATTGCAGGGCCAGGATTACTGGAAGCTGAACACAAAGTGATTTTTCACCCATTGACAGGTCTTTGCATATTAATAAAGTCACAACAATTAGTGTTGGGATCCTGTTCTAATTCTGAGGCATGGGAATACACAATCCAGAAGGTGCTATCACTCAAGGGTGCAAATAGCACTTGTTTATTAGCAGATGGAGAAGGGAAGCAAGCAAAAGTTGGAAATGAATGTTTAGGTCCCAATTCAATATGGGAAATGATCTCTGATTCCAAGTTACACCTCTCAAGTAAAATCAACAATGCTTCTGATGTGTGTCTGGATGTAGATGCCAACAACAACATTGTCACCAATGCATGCAAATGCTTGAGCGATGATAAGAGGTGCGACCCTACTAGCCAATGGTTCAAACTTGTTAACAACACAAGAAAATCAACATCAACATTATTATATTAATACTATGTTGTGTATAAAGATGGCAATGGGGTCAATAAGAGGTTTCTTCTGCCCATTCTGCCCATTCTCTTAATGTGTGTATCCATCTATTATATTCTCCTATTTGATATACATATTTTTTTTATAAACAATTTTATCTTTAAATTTTTAAATAATAAAAAATAATATTAAAAATTAATTATTTTTATAAAAATAAAATTCAAATTTAAAATTTTTAAGTTTAAAGATCAAATGCAATACTAATAGATCTACTAAATATTAATTAATTTTTAAATACTCTCATTAAATAAAATATAGAGACACAAAATATTTTAACCCCACTAGTTTAAATAATCATGACACATTATTTATAGCAAAAATAAATTAAATTAAATTATTTTACATATAATTAAAAATGTTTTTAATATTTTTAAAATATAAGTACTTACAGTATCGAATACTTACTATCTCAACGCACAATTATTAACTGATTACTTATTTGATTATCTATTTATTTATAACAATACATAAAGACGATCTTATATAATTTTTAAGATATTTTTACTCTTTATTTATTATGGTAAGTGCACATTTCTTTCTTTTATTGTAAGGTAATTCAATATCCCTACTTTATTAATTTAAATAAAAATATTATTTACCAAAAATAAATTACATATCTCATAACCATTTTGTAATTTTCACGCTTCACAACATTAACAAGATAGTGACTTTTTTTTTCACCAGTAATTCATAATAGATTTTATAGGAAGCGGTCATGACTTTTTTTTCTCATCCCTAACTGTTCATGCATTAAATTAAGCTGCAGATGTCAAATGTAAAAAAACATAAAACTGCATTTATCTATCTAACCATTAACTGTGCCACTAACACCGCCTCTATGCAACTGTCTAAAGGATAATAGGACAAATAACTGCAACAAAACAAATCAGTAATTTCCCTAATAATAATCTTCTAATGACAAAGTCAACAACAAAGTGGAAAACAGACCTTTATAATAATTTTAAATGTGTCACAGAAAATTTAAATTTACTAAATACAGTACCAATTTTTGAAATTTTTATTACAATACTAAGATGAAAGATCCTTATGGGAAATCGGAGAAACGAAAGGAAAAATTTCAAAGGAAATCGAGAGTGAGGATGGAAGAATAATCAGCTTTATGCATGGAAAGTTTTATAAATCCAAAAATATTTATCCTGAAATCGGGTAATGCACTAATATCATGTGCACCAATATGTATGCCTTTTCACGAAGAGTAAATTAAGTTTGTGGTGGTGAGGAACTTCAGAATCAATCTTTCAGAAAAGCAGACAAAGCACTTTTACTTGCCTTATGATCAGAGAAAAGCATAATTTTGGGGCTTAGAGGATTCTGTAATGATGAAGGGGCGTTTCTAAGGGGAAAAGATACTTAATTATTAAAACTATTTATTCTATTTTCTCTAAAACTATTTATGAAAGCAGGTGATACTTCAAATAATTGATGGTTTATTCTATTATCACATAAAAAGAGAAAAGAAGATTGTAGAATATTGCCTTTTGATAATGCTGTTTCTTTGTTTACATAATTCAAATTTTATAATCTTACATGAACATCGGAGAAAATATGGCCCCGAGGGATATGTAATGTCAATTATCAGGTTCGCACCGTCCTTTCCTCTTAATAAGGCTAATTAATTACATTTACATCACAAGTCCAGGATTTAAATTAAAAAAGAATAAAGAGAAAGAGAAAGAGAAAAAGAAAAAGTAACGAGGCACGTTCCTTTTTCAGACCATATTATAAATATAAATTAGCATAAGCATAAGAATACTTCACTTGCATATCAGAGACAAATTGATGGACCCCATTGATGATGAACCAAAGTAGTAGCTTCATCTATCTGCTTCCACAGATCAAAAGAATATAAATATAGAAACAGGATCATCCACTGATAGAAGTAGTAGTGTAGAACCACGTAATTTTTATAGCATGAGTACATGACGTACATGTTAATGTGGTGCATTTCACCATAGTTTTTTCAGCCTTAAGAAACACCCCATTTCCTTCCTAAGTTCCAAACATGCAAAATGATATTCTTATAAAGAAGCTCCTCCTCACACACGATCCAGATGGTCGCAGGCTGGATTCTGAAACCATGCTTCTTGCTGTTGGCAACATTATGTTTCATGCTTCCTCAATAATAGTAAACTTCATGCAGTCTCATACTATCTTTTAAATACATTAAACTGAATGTGGCATATATCACCTGCACTGAAGTTTTCAGATTATGATTTCTATTGGCTTGTTTCAGGTGGCTTCTAATTTATATTCTGCTTCCTTTCAGAAGAATGACATAACTGAAATAGAAACGCTTGGTTGTAGTGAACCAGTAGGATTCGTCATCACAAAAATAGGCAAGGTACTTCATATTCCTTGTTTTGACAATCTTGGTGCATGCACATACACTTATAGTTAACATATCTATTTTATTGGCAGATTCTATGCAAATGCTATGGTGAAGGTGATATTAACTCAAGGATCACGAGTGTGTTTGATTTGATAGGGGAGTATAGTTGGGATGCAAAAGTAGTTCTAGTGCTTGCTGCTTTTGCTGTGAGATATGGTGAATTCTGGCAACTTATGCAGCTATATCGTGGTAATACTTTGGCAGCTTTAATTTCAAGTATTAAGCTGCTACCATGCAACTTAAAGCCACTGAAGCTACAAATCAAAGCATTGAGCTTGTTGGTTAAGATTATGATGGATGTGGCTATGTATATCATTAAGTTTGAAAACTTGCCCCTTCAACATGTAGAGCTCGGAAATGATGTACTCATTGTCACAAAGTCTCAAATATACGAAGCTGCATACTGGATCACCAGAAGCTGTTTAGCATGTTTTTCTCAAGTCACCGATTTCACAACCAAGAAACATGAGCAAGTGCATGTTCCTTCCCTTAAGGCTCCTGTTAATAATGTCAAACACATATAAATTCATAAAAAAAATTATTTATTAGACATAGTGGCTTAAAATTATTGCTAGTCTCAAATGCATGTAAAAATTTTGACTAGGAATGCCATTTTGATGTATTCGGTCATTTCAGGTATTCTGATTCAACAATAATTGCTGCTTGGGAGCTTTCAAGTTTGGCGTATAGATTAAGTAACATATGCAGCAATCTCAGAAGACAGGTGGATCAGTGTCACCAAGAAATAGGTTACTTTTCGGCTTCATGATTGTGCTTAGAATGATAGGCTTATTGAAGGCTTCTGAGTTATGCACTAACATCAATGATTTATAATAATGTTTCAGAGAAAAACTTGTATGAGAAGCTGTTGAACCTTGCTCGTGAGGAGCACATTGATAATCAGAAGATTCTCACTTTATTTTTTTCTTCCAAGAATTACTTGCCATTGAAGGATTGCTCGACAGAAGTAAAGGTAATATACCCTTATATTGTGCTAGGAAACATATTTTGCCTTTTTATATTTGGAAGAGTTTAGAATGTTGAATCAATAGATATTACACACATATGACTTAACTACAATCACTTACTTTTACGAAAATAAAGATTTTTTTGCCATACTATTTCTTAAAAAAAATAAGTGGTATATATTAACAAATTCACAAATATATATTACAAGAATAAATCTCACACGGATAAATTAGAAACTAAAAGAAAAATATTATAAATAAAAAAAATCATTCAAGTTTAAAGTCTTTCCAACTTTTAGGATTATTGGAGTTTTGTATTTGTTTGAGGGATAATATTTATCCAAAAGAAAGATAATATATTTTGTTATTTTTATTGATTTTGTACATAATTTTATAATAAAAAGATATTGTCTATTTTGAAATTAAGGATTTGTTTAAAAAAAATTATGAACAACTTATTTATATTTATCTTATTTTATAAGTGTTTAAATATATTTATAAAATTAGATGTTCACTCGTACATTACACATATTAGAAAGATATATATATATAT